CTTGGGGGACAGGATTCATGGCTGAAGGAACAGCAAGTACTAAAGTCCTAAGGCAGGTGTATGCCTGTTGTGTTAAAGACACTGTTGTGTTAAAGGCAGTATGTCTGGAGTGGAGTGAAAAGGGGGAGTGTACTAGGGGATGAGATGAAAGAGATAAAGTGGAGTGACTGGTGATTGTTACTGGTTAGGCTTCAAGGTAAGTTGGGGAGAGGTTTGGATCCTATGCCCAGCTGTGCTATTCCCTCTGGGAGTGTTTCTTCATCACTGAAAAGTAGACAGAAGACTAAGGTGATCTTGTAGGGTTTTTTCTGCTTTAAGATAGTCTTTAATGTGAAATTTATTATTTCACTTCCAGTTTTACTTTTTTAGCGCTTTTGTAAGCAATTTGTTTATCATTTGGAATTCTTCCATAGTGTTCATGAGCTCATCTGTCTTTTTGCTCCATCCAACCAGGCGATTTTTTCCTTTCTCTTGCCCTTGTTTCTCCTCTTTCTGACTGAACTTAAAGACTTTATAAAGTCCTTCAATAAAGGGTAGGAAATTATTTTCTTACCACCTTGTCTAATTTTTAGTTCTGAGAGTAGGATTTATATTTAATGTTAGCTAATAGAACTAAGAAACATATTGCTATCTACTAAGAGATTTAAATTCTTCTGAATGGAAGCTTGATTTAAAGCTAGGCAGAGAGAGGGGAAAGATGAGGCTTGACCCAACTATAAATTGAACAAATCTCAATTGCTAGTCAAAAGTTAAATGGAACATAATGTGCAGATAGACATGGGATTCTTAACGTAATATTTGTAAGGAAAGGACAACCTTTAGATAGGTCTTGAATGAATGTTTACTTACAAATAATGGGGTGGGACCACTCTAAGGTGATGTTTTGATGGGTTCTATTAGCAGATAACGTAGATAAAAGGAACATGTCATGAAGTTTTACAGTCTTCTTTAGTATAAACTCTGTTGGAAGAACAAAGTAATATCAAAACTGTTGTCAGTGCCTTTGAAATCAAACAAAAAAGTAGAATTTGTAGGTTTTTAAATTGCAGCTTTCATGTAGTAATAATGAAACAGTATAATCACTCTGAATAATTTGCCACCTTTTACAGCTTTTGCAGCTTTCTGCCACCTTTTACAGCTTATTATGAATTATAAGGAAACAAATCCGGAATTCTAAATAGCATCTTGGGGTTTGATCTGTCTTGTTTTATGTAATCTGCTTGACTTTGCGTATGCAAGAGTCAGAAAAAAGAGTATAATATTAGGTACCAATGTATGAGGTTAAGTTTTATGGTGACAATAAAGATGGCAATCATATTTTGCAATAGTAAGTTTATAGTTAATTTTGCTAATAATCATTTTCTTTATCTGTTATATATTTGGTGAGGATTTTGTAGTGATTATTTTTTAAAAGATTTTATTTATTTGTTTTTAGAGAGAGGGGAAGGGAGGGAGAGAGGGAGAGTCATCAATGTGTGGTTGCCTCTTGTGCGCCCCCTACTGGGGACCTGGCCTGCAACCTAGGCATGTGTCCTGACTGGGAATTGAACCAGTGACTCTTTGGTTAGCAGGCTGGCACTCAATCCATTGAGCCACACCAGCTGGGGCTGTAATGATTATTCTTTTGAGTCTGGCTGAAATTAAAGATAAGGAAAATACTAATGGGAGCTTTCTTTACTAAATATAATTATTTTAGGAGGAGTGTGTGGAAAGTATTCATTAAACTTAGCTGGTTTGACACCCAGTTGCATATATTTATTTATTAGCCTCCATCTTGCTTGTTTATTTTTCCTACAGTATAAAACTGTTTGAAAATTTAAATTGAAAGACTATTTATACACTTAAAATAGGAGTCTGTTTAGAATAATGGTGGAAAAATAAAATAATGGAGTAAATTATGAATAACAAAATTTATTTGGTCTCTTTTGAACATTATCGAAATCTAGACGTCAAAATGTGTATAAGCTAATTTTTGTAGCTGTAGTAATTTTACTAGTTCAGTAGCTATGCCAATTCAAAGTACATATGTGTTAATTACTATAGGCTTTGGTATTTCTACTTAATGGACACCAATTTCATTCATGATATGTAAAATCTAAGCAAGATATGCTGACTGACTTACACTGGAAAGTGAGACAGCCTGAAAAATGTACTCTTTATTGTTTTTAAAAACTAGCCAGTTAAGGATGAGAAGGTAAAGTTTTACTGAGATAACTTCTCTGGCACAAGAGATGTCTATGTCCTGCCTGCTCTTGGTTTTACTAAAATTACATTGTTGGGTGATGGAATAACTTGGTCATAAAAAAGTTTATTTTCTAAATCAGTGTCAGCACACTATGTCCTATGGACCAAATCTTGTCTGTATGGTAAATTTTTATTGGAACACAGCCGTGCTCATTCATTTACGTATTGTCTATGCCTGTTGTGGTGCTATAATAATAGTGTTGAGTAATTGTGGTTCAATGATCCACAAAGCCTAAAATATTTACTATTTTTTAGCTTTTTGGGAAAAGCGTGCTGACTCTTGGTCTATATCTTGTAGCCAGATCCTGTTCAAGTTCTGGTGGTATTTTTGTATTTAGTTTCCCATGTGCTTCATTCCAAGAAAGAATATTTTTAGAAAAGGTCACTTTGAGTTGTTAGTGTCCAGCTTTCTTATCCATAAGTAGGTGTAATACCACCTATGAGGGGTCAATGAAAATGTACATAAAGTGCTTAGTGGAGTGCCTGGCACCCAGAAAGAATTCAGGCAATGGGGAGATATAATCAGAGGAAGTCTAGGTGTTTATTTGGATGATTTAGAATGGCATGTTCTTAAAGATTCTGGTTTGTCCACAGTGCTGGCTGTAATGGCCTAGTTTATCCAGGTTCTTAATATAACACTGCTGATTAACTTCCCTCCATTTCTTTCTTTCATCTTCCCTGCCTTTACCCCTTTTTCTCTTTCTCTTTACTTTCACCCTTTTGGTCTCTGTACCTTCCTCTCCCCTCTTTCCTTTTTGATATATTATAAGCATTGCTACTAAATTTAGGTCAGTTGGTAAGTACTCTAGGGAGAATATGCGGAGAACCTAACACAGAAGAGTCTCCCTTGTTCTTAGTTCCATTCTCTAGTAAGCAGAGGAACTCTAAAATCTCGCAGTCTCCTTCCCTCCCTTCTTTATTCTTATGTGATAATGTATATTGGCAACCATCTAGATATATATAAAATTTACTTCCACTATAGCAAATTTTAGGGTAGATCTTTAGTTCTGCCTAATGGTTCACTTTTAGCCAGGCATAGTTTTCTTCTTGAAACAGGATAGATTCTCCCCAACATTTTGAAGGAAATTTGAAGATCTAGTAGTGATAAAATTGAGCCTACCAGTCCCATATTGCAAGCACCTCTTAGTTAGTTGTCTTCTTGTTTCATGAAAATGTAAACTTAAAAAGCTGTTATTTTCCTTAACAAGTATTTTTAGATCAATTTGAAACCTGGACCTAACCCTTTCTAGTTATTATAAAATTAGTAATAATATAAGAGAGCAAGGAAAAAAATCTTAGACTATTTTTTTTGTTTTTATGGGCATTTACTGTTGTTTTGTGCTAGTTTTTAGTTTTTTGTAGGTGTCAGAAGATAAAAAAGTGAAATTCTAGGATGATAGTTATAGTATCCTAAAATTTCACTTCTTTTCTATATTTTTTGTGTTTTAATTAAACCACATGCTTTTGCTTGTGGTTTCAAAAGGCGTTAAAGTGGCTCAGAATTTCTAATAGCATGTTCTTGCCTTTTTAACGCTAATACTTAAATTCATTACACCTAAATTTTGTTTACTGCCATTCTCTTAAAGGTAAGTATCCTTCCTGTGTTCTCACTTATTTTACAGTAAGCTGAGATTTTGGTAATGATAGATATTAAACCCTAGCTTTTACTCCCTGTGAGTCACACAGGGATATTAAATGGTTTTCTTAGAACTGCATTTGAGTCAGTATAAAATTAGGGACATAAATGTTGAATGTACCTTATTTTGTGTATTTATAGGAACCAGACAGCAAGGTTTAAAAAGTAATTTTGTCTCTGGAAATAGGTAGATAACATGGAAGATGAGGATTCTTTAGATTTTAAAAAAAATATTTTGAGAGGTTAAATGTTTTACCTTGCCAGGATACAGGGAGAGAAGGAAGAGAGTGTAAGTCTTGGTGAAATGTAACTCAAAGGTACATAGTTAGTATTAGCATGCAGTTTGCTTGTATATGAGAACCAATAACAGATTGATTTAATATATCAAAGGAGAAAGAGGAGAGGGAGAAGAAAATAAAAGACATATTTGGGAATAGTTTTATTTTCCTTTCTTTGACTAAGCTGATGATTAACTGGCAGCTAGTGAAGAACACAGTCAGGATATTCTGCCCTTGGGCAGCTGGATGGATCATCAGAAAAAACAGATTTAGCTGTTCACGAATCTCCAGAAGGCCTTGGGTTGCGTAGTAGCTAGCTACCTGTGGCTTGCCAGTAGGAGGTTGTCTCTGTATTATGTCGGCCACTATCCTCTTGAGCATTTTCATGCCAGATCTGTATCAGAATTTCTCACTTGTTTAATTATGGTCTTGTTTCCATGATTAAAAATCTTTTCTGCATTCTTTGTTGTGTTAGGTGGCCTTTCCAAAAGTTAATGCTGCATCTTCCTGGGGTATTGTTGGCCATTTAAATCATTATTTTAACACTGTGTGCATGTAATTTGTTAGTTCTTAGATAAAAAAGTCAGTCTATTTGAAACTATGGGAAATCTAAACCTCAATGTGCATGCAGTAGATTTCTCTGGTTAGTTTTCTAGTAAACCAACAAAAATTATTTACCCTAAATAGTTTATTATCTGTTAACTTACTGTTGCTTTGAAACTTTAAGTTGTGAATTTGGAATATTTTGCAGATTGTCTTTTCTATAGTCAGACCTACTATTATGTGCTTTAACTTAGATGAAGAATGGGAATAATCTTTTGATAAATTCTGTTTTCATACAGTCAAAGGCGATTGGTTTGTTAGATGTGGATGTGTATGGACCGTCGATTCCAAAGATGATGAATCTGAAAGGAAATCCAGAATTATCACAGAGTAAGTAAAATGAGATAAATAGTATGATAATATAGTTACACTTTTATTTAGTATTTAGTACCTGTTACTAAATAAAAGTAAGGCGTTGTATTATGTGCCATGTCTATGCAGTATAATATAATAATTCTGAAATCAGATATGAAGCTAGACTGCCTGGATTGAATTCCAGCTCTGTCACTGACTGTGGCTTTGAGTGAATTTTTAACTTCTTTGTCCCTCAACGTCCACGCCCTCCAAGTGTAAAATAGGGTTAACAGTTGCTGTGAGTAATCACTCAGTTACAAAATTGCTGTAAGTATAATGCATTTAACACAATACCTGGCACATAGTAAGTGATCAAAAGTTAGCTCATCACTATGGTCTTTTTAATATTAAATGTGTGGATATGTGAGAGTATGTGAAAGAAAGTATATATTTGTGTTAGAAGAGATGAAAATTATTTTCTCTAATCAGATTTTTGTCATATTTGTCTTAAAGTGTTTAAAAAACTCCAATAAAACCTCGGAACGTTAGTTTCTTTCCCCAGCTTTCAGTGCCATTATTAGGACAGAGTAATGTTTTTGAGTAAATCTTTAATATTTACTATTTTCATGATTATATTTTATCGTAAAGCTATCAAACATAGAGCTTTAAGAACAAGAAAACACTATGATCAAGAAATGAAAAATTGGAACAAGCAGTACTTTTCTTGAAAAATAGTTTTAAGTGAAATTAGTTTATTAAAATTTATTTCTATTTATAATGAATATAAAATTGAATAACTTCTTTTTGTTTCTTATTGGGATTTTATTTTCCATGTATGAAGAACAGAATGACTGCATTTATTGAAGACTATTTATAGGGTCATCTATGCACCTATTAGAAGTATTTTTTATTGTTGTTGTCATTAGAAGTTAGTTATAGACATTGTCTGCTGTTTAAGGTGCTTTTGTTTGTGTTTTAGTTGTTGGAGTCAATTACAGTGTTAAATTCTGAATAATTATTTATAAGACAGTAAGGATTCTACTTAATAATTTTTGAAGGAAACTTGATGATCTAGTGATGATAAAATTGACCTTAGCAGTTTTATATTGTAAGCTATCACTTAGTTCTTTTCTTGCTTCATCAAACTATAAACTTAAAAAGCTAAGTTATTCTAATTTCTTTTTTCTTTGTCCCTTCAGTGGAATGCATACATAGTTTGCACATATGTGACGTGAGCCAAGCTTTCACAAAAAAGTAGTAATGAATTTGCATGCGTTAAATGATAGACATATTATGTCTATTTCTTGATTAAAGTAATGTGAAAACGGGTGCATGCAGCCCATGAGTGGTGGCCAGCGGAGCCCTGCTGCCAGTCTTTTCTTCAGCAGTCTGTTCAGTTCATGCCAACATGAATGTTTGATGTGGGCTTTAATTTCCTTTTTTGTTTTACTGAAGCTGTAATCTTAAATTTGATGTTTGCAAATTGGCTGCCATTACATAGCTTTCTGGTAAAGATGAGCTACTGGAAACCCTGAAAAGCTTGAAAAGAATACCTTGTGTGTTGACAAGCTGATTTTAAGTCCCCCAAGAAATAAACTGAGCTGTTCACACATTCACTTAAAAGATTATGGACTCTTGAAAGCCCAACTTATAAGTTCTTTTTTTGAATCTTAGATAAACCTGCCACTATTACACTACTTGGCATCATTTTGACATTTCTACATTTTATCATGTTAATTTTCTCTTTTTTTACCCTCTGTTACAGAATATACAATGTGATGTGAAAATATTGAATTGACAATAAAGAAAAACTATGAAAGATTTGTTTTCAGCATTTTAGATTTTGGGGAGATAGTCCAGTGAGTGGAGTCTCAGTTTTGTATTTGTTCCTCTGTTCTTGGACTTAGCTGGACGCTCTTAGGGGCAGTGGGACTTTAGGACTCTCCCTTTCTCATTACTTACACACATATGGTGATGTAGTTTTAGTCAATTTGTCTATTTTAGAATTTCTTGTTAGGGTTTGCAGGTCATATGCTTATTCACATTCTCATATCTTTTTTTTTTTTTGAGGAGGGAAGATTGTAGAAAAACCACACTTTCTGAAGTTATATGACATTTTAGCTTTGATTACCAAGAAAAATTTAATATTTGATTCTAGAGAAGTGAATTCAGTAATTGGAGAGAAATTTAAGTTTGTAATAGTTTTAAGTTCCTTAAGGTGAGAATCTTTCTCTAAGCTTAAAAATGACAGTAGTGATGTGTATATGTTTTTATTTAAAATTTTGGTAATGGAAAGTCTAGCCAGTTTGTAGAAAGAGTATTATACAAAACCCTCAACAGGTTGACATTGTAATGACAGCAAATGACCAGTTGCTTTGGGAAACTAATGGAGGTTAGAGTAAAATCCATGTGCATTTGGGGAAACTGTCATCTAAACATGAACATACTTTTTTTTTTTAAGAAAAAAGAACAAATACCAGTTATTTGTCTTTTTTAACTTTCCAAATAACATGATATTCAAATTTCATATTACAGTATAGCCAAATTATAGTGCTAGAAATTATTGAGTGGGAAGGTTTCTCAATTGAAATTGCAAGTGAATCAGTGGTGATTGCACACGGAGATATGCCACGGCCTTTCACTAATGTAAATATCCTTTTTTGTGACCACGTTAAGGATTTTCACTCAGCTTTCTTAAATGCCTCTTACTGGTAGAAATAATCTGCTTTCTTTCACAGTTTTGTGATGATAAATCACTTTCAAAATACTTAAGAATTCATTACTACTTAGTTTTACTAAAGGATGTCTTTTAATGTACTTAGCTAATAGAGTGGGAAAATTTTAAGGCTTGTGGAGACAGGTTACTAAAATTGAAATGTTACGTAATTTCATTGAGGATAACATAGTGCTTATTAATGATTAAATGGGAGACTTTTTTTTTTAGGAGGATCCACTCGTCTGTTCTGTTGTTGGGGGATAGAAATTTGCACTCATGACAGTATTCTATTATATCTGTCCTTAGGTATTAAGCATTTTTCAAGTCTGGGAATTGTGTGTGGGCTTATGAAACAGAGAAGTAGAAAATCAGCTTGGGCAAATGACCTTTTATAGTAGCACTCATCTCCAGCAAGAACTACAAGGAAGTGACTAAAATTTCTTAAAGGTAATTTAAATGCATAAAGAATGAGAGTGGCCCTGGCTTGTGTGGCTCAATGGATTGAGTGCTGGACTGTGAACCAAACAGTTGCCTATTTGATTCCCAGTCAGGGCATATGCCTGGGTTTCGGGCCAGGTCCCCAGTAGGGAGCACACAAGAGGCAACCACACACTGATGTTTCTCTCGTTCACTTTCTCCCTCCCTTCCCCTCTCTCTAAAAATAAATAAATGGAATTTTTTTAACATTTCTTTTTTCTTTTAAGATTTTACTTATTTATTTTTAGACAGAGAGGAAGAGAAGGAGAAAGAGGAGGAGAGAAACATGTGGTTGCCTCTTGTGCTCCCCGCTCTGGGGAACCTGGCCTGCAACCCAGGCATGTGTCCTGACTGGGAATCGAACCAGCGATGCTCTGCTTCGCAGCCTAGTGCTCAATCCACTGAGTCACACCAGCCAAGGGAAATAAATAAAATCTTAAAAAAAAAAAAAAAATGAGAGTGAACTCTACTTATTTCTTAAGTCACCTTGCTGTTTTCTTTCAGGGATTAGAATTAGGGGTGCTATTGAAGTTGTTGGGATGGATAAAATCTAATGCAGTGTAGGTCCCAAAGCTTCTGATTTATAATTTGCTTCTTCTGGTCATTGTCTTGTGGCCCCTTGGGTTTCCTCTGATACTACAGTTCCTCTGATTATCTTTGCAAAGTTTTTGGGATATGTTGCATAATCACTGTGTTACAGGAATGACTTTTTCTTTGCTGCTTTCCTGAATTATTTTTATGACCTTTCATACCTAGAATATTAAGACAAGGTGCTATTTCTAATATAATCATGGGTTGAAGGGATATTGAAAAGTTGGTTTGGTTTGCTCTGGTTTTAGGTGCTTTTACCTCTGAAATATCTCAGAGATGAGGTCTATGTTCTATGAATACTCCTATCACTGTACTTTATCAAAAAAAGTCCGTCCATCTTTCTGCTTGGCTCATGTTTCTTGCATAGGTCATTGAATAGACCTGAACTAAATGTCTTTGTTAGTGTGGTAAAACCCTTTTCCTTTTCCTTTGACAATCCTGAGTGAAGAACAGCCAGCTGTGTTTGGAGTTTTACTTGCTCTGATGCAAACTCAGGGGTTGTAGCAAGTAAACTCATTGAAGGATGCCTTATTTAATTACAGAACAACTAAGTATATTTTAATAGTTACCGTCTATTAATTTTGGCTTTCTTTCACAGGATGGCATCAAATAATGTTGGCCAGGTGTATCTGTATGTGTGTCAAATGGGCCATGCATCTTTGTGTTTATGATTAACATCTGCCGCAAGACAAGATTGGTGGTCTCTTATACCTCTTTCACATTTGACTTGTATCAAAGGGCTGTCCTTAGGATGTTAGATTAGTAGTAAAGTACATTTGTAATGGGACCATATTTGTTAAGGCTGTTTGTACTTAATATTTCTTTTTTCCAGTCTAGTTCCTGGTTAAAAAGAAAAAACAAACAAACAGAAACCTTTTCTCCCCGTATTTCTTAACATTTTGGTGATTTTTAATGTTTCTCAAAATTATCAGCACATTTCCATTTCTTCTCTCAGATGAGAAAAATAAAAGAACTTACTATTGTTAGGTAGTAGGAGGTTTAGCTTGCAATTTTATTTGTAATACACTGTTTTTATTTATGTGCCTTGCAAAATTTTTGCTTTTTAAAATAGGCCTTATTGTTGTTGATTCATAGTTACTTTAATACATATACTAGGTACTTTAGAATCCTTTTGGGGATACTTTAACAAAACATATGCTACTTTTTTTAAGGTTAACAGAAAGTAAAGCATTTCAAAAAGAAAGTAGTTTGGTGAAAGCAGCCTGTCAAATGAGTTTTGAACATGGAAGAT